ATCTGGAAAAGCGTTTTCACTTGGCTCCTTTAGCAAAATCATCCGAACACAAGCGCCTCGGGGAAGGCTGGGATCTCGGCGGGGTCCGGGGAGGCACAGTCCAGCCTTTGCATGACATACCCCGACGTCCATACAAAAACTCACCCAAACAATATCCACACTCAAGCTCGTTCAAAGCACCCCAGGCTCCTCCAGCACGAGTTCCATTTCTCGCCTTGCTGCTGGTTTGAATTTACTCGCTGGAATAAGCATCCACTGAATGGTGCTGAGCCACAGCCATGTTGGAGAGCCCAGGCCAACTTTTTTTCTGGCCATACAGACCAGGATGTGTTTACCCAGAACTTGGAAAAACGATTCAGCTTTTATTGTAGCTCCGAGGAGAGACCAAGGGGTCACCTTTAAGCTAAGGGTGGTATAAATAGAGGCTGAGTGAAAAAAGCAATGTACGGAAAACCAGAGAAGTGCTCTCTCCAGGAGGGAGGAGGAAAGCAAGATCCCATAAACTGGAGCAGACACGTATTTGATAAAGCAGGTTAACAGGGACCAGGGTCCCGGTCAGTCCCACTCTTCAGCCCCATCTACCCCACCCCTGTATGGATATGGGCAAGTTCACAACTGCCTCAACCTACACGTTCATGTATATTCATGCACGGGATGCAAGGGCATACCTTCGGTGAGCAGAGCAAAAGCCAAAACTTCTGCAACGCTCCTGGCCCTGAGCTTTCTCTGGCTCTCATATGCTGCTGCCAAGTCACTGTCAAAGAAACTGCGGGGAGGGAAAGTTGACTGGATGCTGGGAAATAACCCAGGTGACTAAGGCATGTGGGTTTTCGGGGACGTAAAGAAAATCAGCGTCTCAGAAAATCACAACCAAGCACTGGGATGAAATTACTTTTCACCCAGCACCCTAAACTGCCAAAAAAAAAAAAAAGCACAGCTGGTGGCACCCAGAGCCTGAGCAAGGCTAAGTCACAGACCAGAAGCTGTGGCACAGTCCTGCTGTTGCTGGACCTGTCACTTGCGCAGTCCCTGCTTTCCTCTCTAAGGCAACACCCATCAATCCCCCAGGGATGCTCCAGGGCTTAGCAACGGTCTTCGAGCCCCTGAGGATCCCCCACGGAGCGCCTCGCTGCACAACAGAACACGGTGATGTTCTCTTTGCTGCGTGAATACCGCTGCCGCTGCTCTCGGGACCACACTTGCCACCTGCCAGCATTTGCTGCAGCAGCCTCGTAAGGCACCGCTGGCCCGGAGAAGCTGTCCCTTGCTCCAGTACCAGAGCAACTGCATGGTGTGGTGCAAACCCTGAGCTGTGCAAAGGTGGGGGAGAGGACCAAGTCCATCCAGTGAGCAGCACCTCATGCAGAAGAAAAGCCTCGATGCTGCATGGGGCTGGATTTATTCGGCTTTGCTATTGCATGTTTTACCACCATGGTTTGCTAGAAGCCCATGATTCAGTATTAGGAGTTTGCATCTCTATGTTTACACTGGCACTGACTTCTTCACAGCATTTAGTGCCAAAAGAAACGTGCAGGGAGGCATGCGAAAGTAGGTATTCGGCGGCAGAGCGGT